GGCATAAGGTTTTCATTAATGGAGGTTTTGTTGTAGAATAATTGAATAAATGCATTTGCATTTTGCAGGTCTGGAGTTGCTTCTTGGGCTGCTTGGTTCTTCAAGTATCAAGCAGCAGCTTGATGGTGCTGTTGCCCTGTACAAGCTGGCAAATAAAGCCATGACTCTTTCTCCTGTAGATGCTGCCCCCCCGTCCCCAACACCACAGGTAGGATGTTAACAAATTTATAATCCCTTCCAACGTATTTGAAACATACTATACACATTGGCTCGAGAATGAAAACCCTTTATGAAAGGGAGAGTTAATGGGCAAGGTTGAGAATGTTGGTCCTTTGAGCCTCTTAATATATGATTCATCCCTCAAAATGAATTTTCAATTTCTGGAATTTGTAGTATTTGTTCTCGCTTTAATTTTATGGCCGTAAAAATGGGCATAGCTGTATTATTTTGATACTATTTCTTACTGTAACTCTGAATTGAAGTTTCCTTGGCATCTTACATGGATCATCTCACGTGTAAAATATGTCATGCAGGTTTACCTGGGTGAACAGTATGTGAATAATCCTACACTGTCTGATGTGACTTTTCTTGTGGAAGGTCGATAAATGTTTTTCATCATGTTTCAAAGAACTTATGATCTATTGCTTTTGAAATAATCTCATTCAACTTTTGTTGCCTTTTTGACATGTGCAGGTAGACGCTTCCATGCCCACAGAATTTGCTTGCTTGCTTCTTCAGATGCATTCCGTGCTATGTTTGATGGTGGCTATCGGGTGAGCATCCCAATCTGTTTAAAACCCATTCCGTCATCCTTGTTTCCAGTTTACTTGGGACTTAGGATTTCAAGTGTGATCAGTATTTTTTGTTTTGCCTGTTAAAATGGCTGTACCTTGATCTTTTCTCCAATTCGTCATTAGTGGTCGTATAGATTTAATTCAGGACAATATACCTTTGATTTTTATCACTCTTGAGCATGCTTAGACCTTATAATTCAGAGTGGAATTAGTTTGAATTATAATCGTATGTATTGTTTCAGAATGTTCAATTTCACTGATTGCTTTTAATATGCATTTCAGGAGAAGGATGCAAAGGATATAGAAATTCCAAATATTAGATGGGAAGTCTTTGAGCTAATGATGAGGTTCGCACAGTTCAAATTCCATACGTTATCAGAATTTTAATTTAAGTAGTATTATGTTAATTAATTTAATTTAAGTTGTCATACAGATTTGTGTACACTGGATCTGTGGATGTCTCGTTGGATATTGCTCAAGATCTCCTTAGAGCTGCCGATCAGTATCTCTTGGAGGGACTTAAACGACTTTGCGAATATACCATTGCACAGGTAAGCTATGAATGACCAAATATTATTTTTGTTTTCTGATATTTCACATTCACTTGGTCTGTCACTCAGGCTGTTGTTATATATATCTATATATTAATTTTGAACTTCTCAGGATATATCGTTGGAAAATGTTTCGAGCATGTATGAACTTTCAGAAGCCTTCAACGCCATATCTTTGAGGCACACGTGCATCCTTTTTATCTTGGAACAATTTGATAAACTCAGTGCGATGCCGGGGTATGTATTGCTTCTTTGAACACAGTCAACCAGTTATGAACACAATTAACTTAAAATTTCATTTCAAGTTTCTCAATTTTGACAACAAACTTGGAAGTTAAACCTTTAGATCTAGGGCCCTTTTCTCTTACCATAGTTATTATGGAAGCAAATTGTACGTTTACTTTATAGTCATGAACATATAGATACACCTAACAGAGGCTTTGGATAGAAAAACTTGGTTCTTCCCTGCATTTTTCTAAGTGTTTCTTCATGCCAATACTTGCAGGCACTCTCATCTAATTCAACGCATACTACCCGAGATCTGCAATTATTTTGCCAAAGCCCTGACCAAGCCTAACCTTCACAGCTTGCGGCTGTAGATGGCTGCACCGTCCCGTAATTTCATCATCTCTAACCAAACACGATGTACAGATAGAGGTAGATTTGGTTGCTGCTGCCGAGCTAGATTGAGGTTCGAATTAGTTAATTTGTTTTATGGCACACTATCCTTCTGTTTTTTTTTCTCTCTAATGGTGAGGGTTTTGATCAATCTTTTGTATAAAGTCTCAAGTAATATACCATTGCGTAGATAGAATGACCTCAGTTCTCAACCAGAATTTTATCCTTGGAATGCATTGCATTTGTTTTATGAATTGATGTATCTTCCCAAATGATTAAGCTTTGAGAACACTGTAAATTTGCCACTAGAAATACTTCACATCTATTATACTTCAATTTAAATTTGATGGTTGATATGATATTTTCTTCAAAGAGATGAGGGTGTTTGAGTTAAGACTGCCTTGGGTTTGTGTGAAGCTCTCTTTAACAAGGATTGAAATTGGGGTTTTTAAAATCACCTCAGAATTTTAAATGATAATTCCATATCATTCCATTTTGTACAAATTAGTACTTCGAAGGATTTTAAAGGAGCAATGGAGTATAATGAAATGATAAGAAACATCTATTTAACTAAATGGAATTAAATTAGATGTGGGGGTTGTTTGATAATTGTTTTGTTTTTTCATTTTAAAAATTAAGTGTATATATACTAATTTTATCTGTGTTTTTCTTTATTTTGGTATCAACTTTTGTCAAAATTTCAAAAAATAATAAAAAAAAGTAATTTTTAAAAATTTGTTTTTATTTTTTAAAATTGGCTATGAAGTCAATTTTTTTTAAGAGTAAAAAACATATTAATGAGATGGTAGAAATCAAGCCTAATTCTTAAAAACAAAAAATAAAAAGTGAAATGTTTAAAAACAAAAAATGAAACAAGTTATATTTTTAGTATCTTATATTTTTAATCGTTTAAAAATTGTATTTTGTCCAAGTCTAATGGATGTCCCTGTCACAAATATGGTTGTACTTGTACTAGAGAAAAAGGCCAGAATTATTGGAATTATACTTGAAAAAAAAAGAGAAACAATTCTAGGCTTATAGCCAATATTTTCCTTTTCCCTTGTAAAATCCAAATTGATATTCAAGTTTTTCAAACAATATTTTGATAAAAATGAGTGCAAAAATGTTTATTTATCATGTTAGTACTTAAGTTTGGCTTAATGATATAGTGGTGTTGGTGAAAGAGAAATTTAAGGTTAGTTAATGGTTAGTTTTATTTTCTTTCTTGTAACAAATTCTCACTTCAATAAATCAAATCCTTCCTCCACACACTTTCTATCTTGCTTGCTTCATTTATATTTTTCTCTTCGTTTTTTTAGATATTCTATGACATCAAAATAAACTATACAGTCATTTTCATAAGAGATTTTTATTATGTTCCAATATACACCCTCATTATTGGGCTGATCCGATCCGTCTGTGGTCTAAACAAGTAAAAGCCCAATTTCTATGAATCTCAAACACTTGTTTAAGTTAGATTTCGAGTAGCTTTATGTCTATAGCCCATTTCTTAATTGAGTTAGACCTATAAATGGACTTTCTTATTTATCAATAAATTTTGTTATATAATATTTGTAGTTATTTTATCCTTAATAAATAAATTGTATTTTGTTATTTTTCGAATATTATATGTGAATGAAAATGACACAAAAAAGCCATATTAAATACTAATTAATAATATAATTAATATATAATATATAATATATATTATATTTTATGGTTAGTCTAACCATTCAAATTCGACTCAAACGCATGTCCAATTTAAAAAATAAATATTGATATCCAATCTAATTTATGGAACGATTGGATTAGACTGAATATTGACCTTGGATCTGACCTGAGCTAGACTGATGAGGTTAAAATATCAATTGAGATTTGTAGTCAATTTAATTTTAATTAAAGTATGAGTGAGATAGACATTTTAGAAGTGCAAGATTAAATAAAAATTAAAAACTATGATTAATTAGAAGGGAGTGCATGAATCCACCAAACTCGTAACTACAATTATTTACTGCATTCATTAGAGAGAATCAAAATTAAAAAAATGATGATATTAATCATGTGGAAAAAGAAATTTTGATATGATAGAAATGATGGAAGAGATTGAGTTTGTTGGGAAAAAAAAATTATATATATATTTATTATTATTATTTTTTGAAAAGTGAAGAAAAAATATATTTCAGAGTCACCACATGCATATATTACATTTTCAAATTGTGATTTTAAATTTCTAAACTTACCCACGTGATTCGTACACTCATTTTTTTTTTATTTTCATGATAATTCATATCCTCCCTGGAGCATCATGGGTCCAATTTTATATGATTGGCTTTTCCCAGTGCTTTTAATAATTGCAAATATACTTCAATATGTTTTTCTAAATAATTGGAAATTCATGCAAAAGCAAAAGTATTTACTATTGTTTTTTTTTTCCAGTTAATTCTGCTTTTTAATACATAAGTTTAATCATAGAGTCAGTCCTTTAATTTTTAAAAATTGATTTAAATCTTATTTTAGTTAATCTACATTGGAATCTCCATTTTTTTGATCTTCTACTGTTTAAAAATGATTGTTTTGGCTCATCTTTATTTATTTTATTTTTTAAAATATTTTTTCAATCACAATTTTTAGGATACACTCCATAAATATAGTTGTAGATATAATTTGTGATCTTATTGTTAAGCTGGCCACAACATATTACTTCCTTTTTTAATAAAATTTATATTATTGTATTTTTTTTTAACTTTCAATAATAACCGTCTTGGGTAGTTCATTGGTAATAAGAGATAAATAGTTAATTGATAACGAATGAGTTCAAATCCTATAATAGCTATATGTTTCTCGACAACAAATATAGCAGGATCGGGTGGTTGGCCTGTAAGACAAGTGTGTTCAAACTGGCCCGATCGAGACACTCGCAGCTAAAAAAAACTAAGTGAAGCGAGTATTGATGGATTAAGAATCTTCTTTATTTCCGCCCAAACAATGAGGAATATATCGTTGGAAAAACATTAAGAAAAAAAGAGAAAAGAAAATTTGCAGAAATCGAAACCGGGCAATCTGAAAGTTCAAATTTGCCAATCTGCTCTGTTCGGCTCCAGCCATTTGGATGCTAAGCGCTAACGCAACGCAGCCCAAACCCTCGAAAGCCGAGCCACTCCCCATTCGCCTCCTAACACTTTTAATCCAAATTTCCCATTTCCAAATTCTTCTCCCACTTTCCCTCTTCTCAGTCTCTCCTTCCCATCTACAGCAGGTGAAGAACGGTTCTTTTCTCTTCTCTTGTTGTTCCCTTTTCGTTCCATGACTAGGGTTTTCTTCTTTCCCCTCTTTTTGCTGCTTGTTTGCCTTCTGGGGTTGCTTCCATTTTCTTCTCTATTTCATTTTTAAGTGTGTGAAGCTTTATTTTGCGTTAGATCCATGATAGATGTTGCCAATGTATGGTTTTCTCTCATGGGGTTGTTCTTTGTTTGTTCTTGAACGAGTCTGATCGTAAAAACCCACAATATTATTCGACACTCTCCTTCTATGGCTTACTTCTAGTGCATTTGACATTTAGCGGTAGTTTCTCCTGTTTGGGATAATATGAAGTAGTTTTGAAGTGAATAGTTCTGGCAGAGCTGGATATGGATTTGTTCTGATATGGAGTTGAGTGAGCATTTCTTGCTTCTTTCTTCGATTTATTGTGAGGGAGAAATGGGGTTAGCTAGAAATGGTTTGCCAACACTCTACTTTCAGTGTTAACCTACTGGATCTTTGCTTATTTATCTTGTATTTTACAAAGTTAAGTTGAATATTTGTTGCCTCTACTATCCATTCTTCTTCCAATTTATATTCTTCCTTCTTGCTGCTCCTTATTGGACTACGGGAACGATATGCTGATTGCTTGGTGGAAGTAAAAAAATGGGAAATGAAGAAAATTTCTTTGAGCTGTGCTTGTGTGCTGATAAGTATAATATGTTAGTCCACTGGGTTTTTGATTCATGACTTGTATATCATATAATTTGTCTTTCTCTTACGTAGTGGCTAAGGTTTTCTAGAGAACTACACACTTGTGTTATTTTTCAAAACTCTTATATTCCTTATAATTCTAAGTTTCATTTTATTTTACCTGCTGTAGGCAGCTGGATTTTGAGCACTTTTGATAATGGACTCTGTAATCACAAATTCCGAACGTAGGCCATTCTCTATCAAGTTGTGGCCTCCTAGTGAAAATACTAGGAAAATGCTTGTGGATCGGATGACTAATAACCTTACCAGCAAATCCTTCTTCACCCAAAAATATGGTACTCTTAGTCAGGAAGAGGCCACAGATGAGTCGAAGAGAATTGAAGATATTGCTTTTGTTACAGCTAATCAGAATTACGAGAAACAGCCTGATGGTGATGGAGGTGCTGCTGTGCAACTTTATGCCAAGGAATGTAGCAGGCTTCTTCTCGAGGTTCTTAAGAGAGGTCCTAGAGTCGAGGAGGACAAGGAGGTTGGATCTGATGTCATTAGTGCTCCTCGTGAAACCTGTTTTGACATTTCAAAGGGTCGACGAGACTTCATCGATGCAGAGGAAGCTGAAGAACTTCTTAAGCCTTTGAAAGAGCTCGGGAACTCTTATACCAAGATATGTTTTAGCAATCGAAGCTTTGGTTTAGAAGCAGCTTGTGTTACTGAGCCCATTCTGGCATCCCTAAAGGATCAGTTAAAAGAAGTGGACCTCTCTGATTTTATTGCAGGAAGACCGGAGTCGGAAGCTCTAGAAGTCATGAAAATATTCTCAGATGCCTTAGAAGGCAGCATATTGAGGTCCCTGAACCTCTCAAACAATGCCTTAGGTGAGAAGGGTGTTAGAGCTTTTGGCTCTCTTCTGAAATCCCAAACTTGTTTAGAGGAGCTCTACTTGATGAATGATGGCATTTCCAAGGAAGCTGCCCAGGCGGTATCCGAGTTGATTCCTTCGACGGAGAAGCTTAGGGTCCTTCAATTTCATAATAATATGACAGGCGATGAAGGTGCACTTGCTATCGCTGAAGTTGTTAAGCGTTCTCCTCTACTGGAAGATTTTCGTTGCTCCTCTACAAGGATAGACTCTGAGGGGGGAGTCGCGTTATCTATAGCACTCGAGATGTGTACCCGATTGAAGAAACTTGATCTGCGGGACAACATGTTTGGAGTGGAGGGTGGAGTTGCTCTGAGTAAAGCTCTTTCATACCATGCAGATCTCAAGGAATTGTATTTGAGCTACCTGAACTTGGAAGATGAAGGTGCAATTGCCATAGCCAATGTACTCAAGGAAACTGCTCCTGCACTCGAAGTTTTGGAGATGGCTGGGAACGACATAACAGCCGAAGCTGCTTCCGTACTAGCTGCTTGCATAGCACAAAAGCTACATCTAACCAGCTTGAATTTGTCTGAGAATGAACTGAAGGACGAGGGAACCATCCAGATCAGTAAGTCATTGGAAGGTCACAGCAACCTGAAGGAAGTTGATATGAGCACCAACTTAATAAGGAGAGCAGGGGCTCGGGTTTTGGCTCAAACTTTGGTTCAGAAGCCTGGTTTTGTGTTGCTGAACATCAATGGAAATTTCATTTCTGATGAAGGCATTGATGAGGTGAATGATATTTTCAAGAAGTGTCCGAATCTTCTCGGGCCCTTGGATGAAAATGATCCTGAAGGTGGAGATGGCGACGATCAGGAATCTGTAGAGGATGAGAATGACGAAGATGAATTGGGTTCGAAACTAAAGAACCTTGAAGTTACTCAAGAGAACTAGAGGTTCTGTATTTATGAGCACTTTGATGTAGTTTAGTTGCAAGATTTGTCTCTTAGACTAGTATTTGAAGAGAGGCATCTGTTTTAGTTTCAGACTTTTCATTTTTCTTTCTAAGTGTTGAATCTAATCTAGCCCCAATCAACAGGAATTTCGACAATTTCGACGAGCAGCATAGTAATAGATGCCTGTAGTTGTAGGATTCTTTCGGTTTTCGCTGTCGTCGTTATGTGGAGACTAGTGATAATAGGAATTTTTGTAATGAACTGTATGTTTTTCTTTGTTGTCATGGATCTTGCTCTGTAGTTCAGTGAAGACTTTAAAGCCTTTGCTTATGTTGATTTGGAGCAATCTAAGTCCTTTCATCATGAAGCCAATATTTTCTATTTCAAGTGGATGGAGTAATCTCACAAACCCTATTATTAATTTTTTTTAGCACAAAGTTAGAAGATTTAATTCACCAGAGACAGGTGCTAATTATTGTTGAATTAAATTAGGTTTATATTGACGGCTATTACTGCTACTATAACACACGATTATATTATCTTATATTAGCATAAAATTATTTAGAAAATAGACTTTTTAAAATTATTTTGTTTCTAGTTTTTTTTTTAAATAGAAATTATGCCTAATTTTTCAAAATTTCTTTAATATATTTTCACATTTTAATTTTTAACTAAATTAAAAAAAATAATTTAAAAACTAGTTTTTCGCTTACATTTTAAAAGATTTTTTAAAAAGTAATTAACAAAACAAAAAATACATCTTAGATGTATTTTTAACTTAATTTTTTTGAAAAGCATAAAAAAAAAATTTGTTGGTTAACTTGGACTTATATTTTGAATTAAAAACCATGACATTTATACCTTTAAGATTTTGAAAATTTTGAGGCCCATGTGATAATCATTTACTAATTTTGAGTTATTCATGTTGAAAATATATTTCATTAAATTTGAAATTCAAATTATCATTACTTAATTATAAAAAAATTTGGAAGCCCAGACTCCCACCATTGGCTGTGATGAAAATGGGACCGTTTCAATTACCCACAATCGTGGATATGTTTCCTCCGTCCCTAAAAATCTTGTCCATATTCTCTAGGCCTAGAAAATCAAAACAAGACATTAATTAAAGTGTCCCAAATTTCCAGGACAACTAAAATTACAATTACAACACAAACTGAATCAGCTGCCAAGTTCAGCGGGAGAGCTCATTGACATGATGATCATGAACTCTGAAGATTCTACAACACATGTTTTGAAGCTGAACATTCTAATCTAATCTGCTGCCACCTGCATCGCCCGGCTTATCGGTTCTTGGAAATACTGGAGAGAGATGAATATTGCTTCCTAATCACCAATCCCACCCATGTATGCATCAGTAAATTTGTAGGGAAGAAAAAGAAAACAGAGGAGATGGGAATAGGGGGAGTACCTCTGTTCGAATTGTTCGACTTCCTTGCAGCGGGCATGTATTTAAGTATGAAGAGAAGATCTCGCGAGGATCTTTACCCTGACAGATCAAAACAATGGCAAGAATATAGTCAGTTCTGAACTGGAGACTGGAGTAACCCAAACAAAGAACACCATTTTAAACATGGACACCTTTAAGCTGTTATCTTCCTCGATGCTCTCCTCCAAGCCGGCAAGTCCACCAAAGGCAATTAAAAGATGCCTGCAAATTTAAGCAATCAGTCAACTAATGATGGAAAAAAGAAAGCGGGACCAGAAAAGATGCCTGTCAAATAGAACAATCGCCCAAAGAGTTGCAGCTTAGAATGGCTCGGATAGAGAATTACCCATGTATGAAAATGTGTATTAGTTAAAAAAATGGAACCTTTTTACACTGCCTTTTGAACTATGATAAGGTGCACAAGACAGAGGCTCATTATACATTTAATTGACAAGAAGCCTATAACGCTGTTGCTTCCTTAAAAGCCCCTCTCGGACACATTTTTCCATTACAAACAATGATGTTATGGAGGCAAGCATATAGAGAGGCACACAATTGTAATTTATAAGTTTGTTGGATGTCGTGAAGGGGGTAGAAAAAATTCTCCAGAGTTGGCAGAGTTCAACCTTGCCAATATAGTTCAAATGATACTACAGATGATAATTTCAGCCATGAATAAAGGTACCGAGAAATCAACTAGAAATGACATGCTTAAGGTATCAGCTAGAAACAAACTATCCAGGTCACATGGGGGTGGCTAAAGTAAAATACCTGAAAGAGGGTAGTTTTAGTTCTGAGGACTTAGCGACCATTCCATGCTCTGAGGTGCCAATCACGTGATCATAACCACCCTTGAAATAAAACAACAAAATGTTAAGAATATGATATTAAATTTAAAAAGATTTATCGAGAGGTATAATCAGATACCTTGTATGAACTCTCCTTAAATACACCACTCAGACAAGAAGCATATCGCACTCTATAACCCCAATAAAGTCCTTCTTCCACAGGCCTTGAGGATGAGGCAACCTGGCGGGGTAGATCTGGAGAAATCAAGTTTAAGATCTTGAATTCCATCGGCAAATCTTAGTTTCCATTTCCGACATAATCACATTGGCATGACACATACACGTAAGTTGAGCATTAAAATGATCATAAATTCATTTCTATTATTTCATGGTGTTGTGGCTACACAAGGTTATATACTGGCTTAAATGCCCATGAAAGTGGGAGCCGAACTATGACTGTGGCAGACAATAGCTGAAATATTACCTACCTCAACCATTTGAAGTCAAATTCATGCATAAATATATGACAAGATTTCTCCTCTAATACAGGGTCCAGAAGTTAGAATCTCATGTTGTAACAATCATTCAATGGAGAAGAAATATACCATCATCTAGTTTTAAGTGCACAAAGGATATTATCAAATCAACTGAAATAGGTTTGATACCCTTTCAAGAATTGCAGAAAAGAACTGTCAACCCTTGTTAGAATGTCGAACATCAGCATAAAGAAAAGATTGTTGGAAACATTTTCATAATTGTTTAGAAATTTGTTATCAGTACTTTCTTGTTGTTGGATTAGTCAAGTTTGGTGGGGGATCCAGAATAGAAGTTGGTTTGTCATTTTTTAGAAGTCTGTATTATGTATTTGTTTAAGAGACACGACTGGTTGTTGCTAGATATCAGGAGTAAGTTATACAAGCTTTGGCAGTAGTCACTCTTTTATTGGTTTTTACTTTTTCAGATAAAAAATATGGGATATTGTCTAATGATGTATTGCATTGCAGCTAAAGTAGTAAAGTTACAAAACTCTAGTTTTCGGTCTCTTTTTTTTGGATAGGAAGTTTTCGGTCTCTATGTTCTATTTCAGTTTCAACAAGTTTTGTCTTAATACTTGCAGACATTGGACCATATTGCAGACCTCAAAAGTACAAGCATAAAGCCAATACTCATCAAGGCATCTATAGCTTAGCTGTGAGGAAAAATTAGTCAATTTTCATATTTTATTAAATATGTACTAAAAAAGGTATCAGATATTACCAGCAAGTAAATTGCGATCAGTTCCCATAGCTACTGTTACTCTAATTCCAGGTTCAAGTACTTCATCAACTACCACATTCTGCATAATTTAAATGCAATTATTAAGCCAAAGAAAAACACCTACTTAAGTAATATATGGTCGATGGGAGCATTGAACTTAAAAATGGTACAAAGAAATTGAATTAGCATACTTTAAACCTTCCAATCCATCTAACTCAACATGTTAGCACCACTCACGCTTAATGTAGGAGAAAATTTGTTTTCATTATCCAAAATATTTGTTCTTTTGTCTCCTTTGAAATGAATCGTTTCTTATCCAAAAAAAATAATGTTTTCATTATCGATACATGTAGTTATAGAACTAGGAAGCCATAATAAAAAATAGCTTTACCTTACTCAGACCAACATCAACTGGCGTTCCTCTAGCATCCGGAGCTCTTTCTCTCTGTGTGAGGGTAACACCTAAGTTTAACATGACAAAACGAGGTCCAAAATGTAATGTGAACAAGAAGAAATGCAGTAGCCAAGGATACCAACATAATGAATGAGAAGTCATCCAACAATATAGCCAGACAGGTACATATATAAATATATATAGTCCTAGCCCTAGCCCTAAACTCAGCTTTTAGGAGCCTCTTGAAATATATAGAATAAACTTGGATTTCTCAGGCTACAGATGTAAAAGTGATCAATGATGAGCGGAAAACTTCTCACAAACTATGACACAATCTTTAAAGAAATTTTCTGCCCGAAGATGAACAAGTTACTAGCAATGTCTTATAGACTCTAAAAAAGGAAAAAAAAAAAAGAAGCTTGGGCATTGGGAAAAAGGAAAGAACGTTAGGAGAAAAGTAAGCTTAGGCATCTAGTCAACTAGAGCACCAACGAAGAAATGAAGCTTGGGCATTGGGAACCTTAGGAAAATAAATACTAGCAAAAGTAAATGAAGTTTGAGTAGAAGAAATCTGTAGGAGAAAGAGATGGACAAATTCTCAAGGTTGCTGGAAATGATTAATGGCAGGAAACCAAGAAACCGAGTAGACACTAGAATTTGGCTTCTCCATTCCTCAGCAGAGTTGGTGGGAGTGCAAATCACCATTTCTTAATCATGCTGCCACTAAATAAGTCATGAAAGAGGATATGTACAAAGCTATCTGTAAGGTAAGGGGCTGATTCGGCTGGAGAAAGTGAAGTTCTTCATCTGGACGCAGGACTGAATCGACTAAAAAATTGCCACTAAGATGTTCCTGGTCTTTTTTTAAACACAAGCATCTGCGTTATGTGCAGGTCAAATGACGGAAGCCAGCTTCACTTATTCTTCCAGTACCCTTTTCTATCAGTTTGCTATTTTTAGAACTTTTCAATATCGTTGGTGTTTTGGTGCGAGGTGATGATGCATCTCCAGGAACTGTAGTATGGCCCAAAGTTCAAAAGGAAAACAAAGATCTTTGGGTCTAACACAACTAAAGCTATAATTTTTGTATGCTTAGTGTACTGATATCAATGGAAAGTGCCTTGTTACCCCCTCCCACACCCACACAATGCTTGAGTACGAAATTGAACAATCTAGAGAATCTTTGTGGCGAGTTTTCTAGTGAATTTCAAAACAGAAGAGGCAACAATAAACTCCTCACATACAGAACCTATTTACCTTCTCGATAGGGACCCCATTCATGCTTGCGCAAATGGTGGGGAGCATCAAGCGGGGGCAACATCCCCTATAACCAAATTCACGATAGACGGAAGATTAGAAGGAAAAAAACAGGAAATGTTACTTAATTGATTAAAGCAACCAAGCAATTTAAGGTTGGACCACAAATCTCAAATTGTTGTGCTTTGGGAAAAGAGCTTTTCTCAAGTATTGTGGTGTCTCAAGATACTTCAAGATCCTTATAAGAAAAGCAGCGCCGCTTTCATCCTCGTCAGAATTGTTCGCTGCCACAGTATCCGAGCCAGTCACTGAGTTCCTTCCACTGTCAAATACCACCACCTGATACACGCAAAAATTATCTTCCTGACTTGAGCATTTCCAAGGATGTCCTATAACATTGGAATTTACCTCCTAAAGTGTATTTTTATCAAATGTAATAAGAAGCAACGTTTCTTTAACATCGGACCAGCATTTTCAAAATGTAAAAAATAAAGAGAGAAAGACGGAGACCTCGTCAATTCGGAATATGGTTGCCGCACGAGCAATTTGACCAGCCAACTGAGAAAAAAAAAATCATGAAACATAAGGAAAAAGGGAAGATCACATAACTCAGTTGGGACATCGCCAGAGAACAAATCAAGTATCTCAAAGAGAAGGCATAACAAAATATCATCCTCTGAGTGGCAGGAACTCGAAAAAACACTCGCCTATAAAAGAAAAAAATGCGTACTCTGGTGGCAAGCTCAAGGGATTGAGCGTTGTCAATGATGGAACCGGATACCGCAATGCTCACTGTAGGTTTTGAAACCGGTTCCCTCTTCTCCCCCTCAATTTCTTCATTCTCAAGTTTCTTCTTCTTCTTCCTCTTTTTCTTCTCAGGAGAACATCCATTGACGAGCTGAGCTTCGGAGTCGCCTCTGTCAAGTGCCTCCGATTCTGATTCCGGCCGCTTATGCTTCTTCTTCCCCATTCTTGAAGGCCCTCCGCCGGTGGTAGGGGTTTAGGAGGGTTCAGAATGCCGGAAATGAATCAGACACCCAATTACTTTCCCAGAGCTTGCGAAGCCGGGACAATTACATGTCGGTCCAATATGATTTTGGGCTTTATGCCTTTTGGGGCCCATAATTGAACTAAACTTTCATATGCGCTATTATTTAAAATTGTTGGGCTCGGTGGGCCTCAACCAAGCATTGAGCCCGGATAATTGCACGATGGCCCAATTTTATTCTGGGCTTTTTTCTATACACAGCCCCATATAGGCCTAAGGGCACATAATTAAAATTAAAAACTTTTGGGCTCTTTCTCAAAAGTAAACAGAAATTGTTTCTATTATATTTCACAGGTGTACATTTTTACAAATGTACAAGATTTAAATAAGTTTTTTTTCCCTTAAATTGCCTTCAATAAATGTCATTATATCATATTTATTATTACATTTTTAGAGGTAATATTTCCCAGTGAAAATGGATGATAATTTAATATAAATATTTACAACAATGATTAAATGATAGTATTTTAATAAATAATTAAATAAATATAATAACTAATCAATGCATTTAAAGTTTAGAGTTTTATTTATTTATTAAAAATATATGAATATAGTAGCTTGGTAATTTTTCCATGGTCCCATCACAAAGAGGTCTCAATTTTGACAAATCTATAAATAACAAGAGTTTCTAGACATCTATGTAATTAGGTGCCTGAAAATGTCTAGTTGTGTTGTTATCCTAAAGAAAGAAAGAAAACTATAGTAAGCCTTTTCAACAACAAAAATTTCAAGTTTTTTTTTCTTTTTACAACAAATATAAAGATAAGGAAGTTAACCTACTTTTAAGAAAGGAGCAAAATGCTTTAAATACTGTGTTAATATTATGCTAATATTTTGTTGGCAAAATTAGAAGATAATTTTTCTTCAATTAAAAATTAAAACAATGTTATTTTTAAAAAAAAAATTTAGTGATTTATTAATTAATTAAATTAATTATACTTAAACTACGAATGAGCAAAATATACTCAATATATTATAAATCATTGGTTTATTAATATATTTGATGTGAATAAGATCTCATCTGAACCACTTTTATAATTTTTTGATTGAGTCTACTATTTTTTTCCAACTTCACGCTTTCATAGGGTCATTTCTGCAACCAACCTAAATTTCAATCCAACAAACAAAACAAAAAGCACAAAATAAATAAATATATTTTGAAAAGCATAAAATAATTTGTCGATTGAGAATCTGGATTGAATTTTCAAAATGTAAGGAAATCCGTGTACAAAAAGAAGCTGACATGACATGACAGCCACTGCTCGACATCTTCCTTTGAAATTGGGGATGATTACAAAATCTAAAAAGGAAAAATTCATTATTCGTAATTGAAGGTCAAAAAGATGCCATGGATTTTGGCTGGTGAAGGAAGAAAAATAGAAATAAAAAACTGCCCAGATATGTGAGAGAGTCAAATTTACCCCTTAATGTATTAAAATTGCTAATTAAATCCATCTATAGAAAATAAAAAAATTTAAATACTATTTTGATCTAATTTTAGTTCATTTTAATTCCTATATTTTTAACTTGGTTCATTTTCTGCATGTACTTTCAATTTATACTTTTAAAAAGTGACTATTTTAATTTATATTTTCAAATTTTTTAACACAAAATTCTATCCCTGACCAAAATCCTTTGATTACATTTCAAGAGTGTAGTATTGTGTAATAAAATTAAGTGACAAAAATAACAACTTTTTGAAACGAATATTTTTGACTAAAATGTAAAAATATTGAAAACACATGAATTAAAATGAACATTTTGAAAACACATAGATCAAGATAAATGACCAAAGCTAAAAAAACAAGACGACCAAAATAGTATTTTAACCTAAAAAAATTTGTTGTATTATTAAATCATTATTTTGTTAACATATTTGAACCAACATACGTACCATTTGAAGTAAATGAATTTTATTGATGGGTGCATCAGATTGAACTGTGTTTCAAGTGTAGAGTATTATTCCAATAACATATTCGTATTAATAAAATAATAATTTAACCAAACATAATTTTGTTTTCTTTTACAATAGAATGATTTAATTACGAATTTAGGATCCATTAAAAAGCAAATTAAGAATTAGAAAGAGGAAAAAGAAAATGGAGAAGGGGAGTTAGGCGTTAGGGTGGTTATTATGATGCGGGAGAGGTGGGGCCCATGATTGGATATGGGGTGGAGCAAGATCGTCAAAATCTTCAGAAATTCCTTTTGTTTCCCGAGAAAATTACAACCGAATCTACTGCAAAATTTTCTCTTCACATAAAATTAAATATACTGCCTACTGCACATTTCTTCCCACTGCCACCGCCACTCCCAGGCACCAAAGATTTTCAAAAAAGCTTTCTGGAAAAGCCAAAAAGAGAGAAAAAAAAACCACAATTTTATTTACTAAAAATATTATTCACCCTAATTTTTCTTTCCAATTCTTTGTTGGAGGGCAATTTGTCCCCGACCATGTGTCTGCAATAAGACCGATAATATTGAACCATGAATGTCACTCAAAACTCTCCAAAGAATCTGAGCCGATCCAAAAGACCGACTGAGAAGTCATTTATGGGATGAGCCGACCTAGATCCCCAACTTCTACCACTTGCGATCTAAGCAAAGTCGAAATCGTAATCTCCGTACTGGACGTCTGAGTTAACAGTTGGAGGACACCCGTATAGAAAATGTACTACAACAGCTAGAGACCTCTCGACTCATTTTCAAGTAGGCGAAACTATATTATCTTTCGAGTATAGATTGGTTAGCTACTGACTTGAGTGTAAGAGTGTTTACTATTTTTTACGGGTCTCCTAGCTACTTGCCAGAACATCAACTCGTCCATAGGGTTGAGCTCCGTAGATTTGGTCAAAATTTGAATCAAACACATTTTTACTCATTTGTTTCCTTTTCAATTTTATGCCTCTTTTATTACTAATTTCACTGACGATCAAAATTTAATTTATTTAGTCTCAAAATCGTCTTTAACTAGAATTTCTTTAATTTGGCTGAAATTTAGGTGCCAACAAAACAAGAGAGCCTTTATGAATGGCAAGGATCTTTGCCAAAATCACACTTTAACATCCTTTTTATCGACACCCTTATTGTTGCCCATCGTACTCATTACTGTTTCTGATTTTTATGTCCAATCTATACTTTAATAGATTTCTTTCCTTTTATTTTCTCTCTGTTTTTTTTTAAATATTTAGACCCTCTGTTAAATTTTTGACGAGTAGAAAAAATATTTTTTATGTATTTTAAAAAATAAAGAGTTGTCGAATTGTAAGTGGTAGCAAAGAAGAAGATAAAGTTAAAGGTGATACGTTTGATTGGCGTCATAATCGAGTGTCGAAATTCATTAGTTAAAACCAAATTGTCTAGCAAACTAAGAGGTTTTACGATTCATCCTGAAGCACGTATACATTGCTCTATCCAACCGATCATTCCACTGGCATCTTGCATTCACGCCTCCGTTTGACTGCTTCCGGTGGTGGGCCAACCACTAATGCGGGGGGCAGCGTCTCGATCTCCCACGTGCGAAATCAGAGGCCCCCTAACGTCACAACGCTGCATCACATAGAGATCAGATCAGATACTATCTTTGATGCATTTTAACAACAACAATAACGTAACAAGAGCTTTATTAATCAAACTTTGTTGATCAATCATACAAGATTTAGGGTATCTCTAAAATACCAAGTTTGTAAGTTCTCATCAACTTTCTCAGTTCAACATTTTCTTAATGGCAAGGGTGTTGACTCGTAAGCACTTATTGTTAAAAAAAATAAAATTAATGTAAAAAAGAAATCCTCAAACCTAAGGGTATTTAATTATATTTTATATACTTTCAAGTTTTAAGTGAAAAAAAAGTGATTAACTATTGTAAGAGGGGTCCTTTCTTAACATGTTGTACTAAAATAAACTATTTTAAGAGAGAGTGGCTGAAAAAATGAAAACAAATTCGTACTTTAAAATAAAAATTATGTAAGAAAAACATATCTAGATTTAGATAATCTCAAACATGCAATAATATCTATTTCTTTCATGGTTTCTCATGCTTCTCTTTTAATAAAATAAGATACATAGAAAAAAACATTATAATAAACAAATTAGGTTTATGTTTTTCAATTTCAAAATCTTATATATAATTATGAAAATATCTCTAAAAAAATAGAAAACAGAGAAAAGATATTACGAACTATGAAACTCTTCACGTCTGTATTTAGAAAAAGTAATGAATTAATAATTGAATAGTATAAATTAACTAATAATTGTAACATGTTTTTCATATATGTTGTCTTACGATAGCATGGAAAGATGGATAATGGAGCCTACTTTCTTTTTCTTTTTTAGTGGTTTGAACAAATTAAATACAAACCGCAGCTTCCAAGTACTTAATGAGCAAGCAAAAACCAGACAAAACAAAATTCGAACCCTTTTCAATTCTCAATTCAAAGAAAAAAAGAATCAAACTTTCAAAATATCTAATTTAGTCACTAATATTTGAAAAAAATTTATTTTAATAAAATAAATATGATAGTTGAAGAATTAAAATAGATACTTTGAAAATTAGAAACCAAGAAATGTCAAAAAAAAAGTAAATGAGATTTAAACCTTTTGAAAAATATCCAACAACAACGATCAATGGCTCTTTCTTCTTTGCTCCCTTTGGCTTTTGCGTAATGAATTTTTGTACACGTGGAGGTTTCCCATTGGTTGTCGGATCCTGCTGTGGATTAGGTCAAATAAAATGGGCTTTGGGTGGGATTGCATTGACGGAAACTTTCGTGGGTAATGGAGTTCTTTTGGACAAAACGACATCGTTTTCCGTTTTTAAAAATTATTGTTGCCTTTCTACCTGGCATCCCCCAGCTGCTTTTTGGTTTTGGTTTCGCCTTTTTGGCAAAATATAATTATTCACATTTATTTATAATTATTTTAGGTAGCAAATTGCATGCGCCAATTTGCTCCTTCTTTATGAATATAAATATTTCTCGTTGGTTATATAGTTCACAAACATCACAT